TCATACTGGTCATTGTGCCCCCTATACCTCATCTCTGCCACCCGCTCATACTGGTCATTGTGCCCCCTACACCTCATCTCTGCCACCTGATCATACTGGTCATTGTGCCCCCTACACCTCATCTCTGCCACCTGCTCATACTGGTCATTGTGCCCCCTACACCTCATCTCTGCCACCCGCTTATACTGGTCATTGTGCCCCCTATACCTCATCTCTGCCACCCGCTCATACTGTTCATTGTGCCCCCTATACCTCATCTCTGCCACCTGCTCATACTGGACATTGTGCCCCCTATACCTCATCTCTGCCACCCGCTCATACTGGTCATTGTGCCCCCTATACCTCATCTCTGCCACCCGCTCATACTGGTCATTGTGCCCCCAATACCTCATCTCTGCCACCCGCTCATACTGGTCATTGTGCCCCCAATACCTCATCTCTGCCACCCGCTCATACTGGTCATTGTGCCCCCTATACCTCATCTCTGCCACCCGCTCATACTGGTCATTGTGCCCCCTATACCTCATCTCTGCCACCTGCTCATACTGGACATTGTGCCCCCTATACCTCATCTCTGCCACCTGTACCCTCTTCTCTTTGCCAGCAGCCTTTACTGTGCGCATGCTTCCTATTCCCCCTTTAGGACCCCACACCCATTACATCCTCTGCATGTCTTGCTCTCTGTTTAATGGAATCTGCACATGAGATTCTGAACACAAACCATTGAAATTCCTCCAATGGTCACGAGGTGAGCGCTGGAGATTGCGGATCATTTCTGGAAGATTCATCTCCTAAAAGGCACCGGAAACTTCTAAAATTGCCCCGAAAATCTGCAACTCGTTACCTGACCCAGCGAAGCCCCTGAAACCGCTTGTAGTTCTGTAGAAGATTGATGCCAAATATGTCCCATGTGTGGGGTGTGACGTCAGAGTGCTGAGTACAACGTCTGCTATTGATTGTATGTAGTCACCCGTGTCTCCTTGGCCTGATCTTCACCAATGCTGTGATACGGGTGTCACCAGCAGTATAAGGAAATATGGGGATAGCGGGGGAGGGGGATGGGTTCGGGGGGATGCAGGTGGGGTAATAAAAGATTGTGTTAAACTTTTCAGAGATCTTGCAACATCTGTAACCTACTAGTTGAAGCCGCCCAAAATTGAGATTGTTTTTGGTAGACACAAGTGAGTTGGCTTCCAGCCTCAGGGAACACTGTGGTAAGATCTCCTCCAGTAGTTTGTGTCTCTGCCCCTCCCACAAT